AAAAAACTGATGAAAGAACAGTCGGGCCCAGCCAGGGTGAAGGTACCTTAAGGCAACAAGAGAGGGAAGAAGGGGCTTCAGAAAAGCAGAGAAGAAAAAAAAACTTCAGAAATAAGTGTTAGAGGCCCGTCACAATGGCTCACGCTTGTAATGCTAGCACTTTGGGGGGCCGAGGTGAACAGATCACTTGAAGTCAGGAGTTTGAGACTAGCCTAGCCAATAGGGTGAAACCCTGTCTCTACCAAAAATACAAAAACTTGCCAGTCATGATTGCATGTGCCTGTTATCCCAGCTATTTGGGAGGCTGAGGTGGGAGGTTTAATCTGTGGACCATGTTGGGGCTTAGAATATTTCATTTTTGGTTTACAGGGGCTTCAGTGTTCCTTGCGGCCTGTGTCCATATGGCATTTCCTCTAATTACAGCTATTTGGTCTCTCAGCTCTAAGCATACAAACCCTTAAGACTCCTCTGTTGTAGATGCTGTGTATTGGCCAGGGCTAGGAAGGAAGACTGGAGGTCCATTTTTGTTGGCCCAATTCTTTCATCAGGGTTTCAGTAAGTGAGTTCCAAAGTAGTGAATCAAGAGAAAACATGTGAGGCAGTGGCAGTTTTTTTCAGAGAAAATCTGGAAATGAAGATATTAGTTGCTATAGGTGTGAGAGGGGTGAGCAGAGGCCAGTTTACCATGAGGTTAATATGGCTTACCCTTCAGGGTCTCTGGAGGCTCCTCTCTCTCTCTCTCTCTCTCTATCTCAACAAGGCCTCAGTCTGTTGCCTAGGCTAGAGTGGTGCAATCTCATTTCATTGCAGACTTGACCTCCTGGGCTCAAGCAATCCTCCCACCTCAGCCTCTCAGGTAGCCTGGACTACAGGCATGCGCAACCATGTCCAGATAAATTCTGTATTTTTTTGGTAGAGAACGGGTTTCACCATGTTGCCCAGACTGGTCTTGAACTCCTGAGCTCACTTGATGCGCCTGCCTCCACCTCCCAAAGTGCTGGGATTACAGGCATGAGCCACCATACCTGGCCTCATTTTTAATTTTAAATTTGATATTAGTTTCTTTTTTTCCTTTTTATTTATTTATTTTTGTTTGCATTATGGCCACAAGTTAAATATGTTTGTTTCTTAAATAACACCCCCATCCCCAAATTAAGCCTTTAGGCTCAAAAAACCTGAATCAATTCTGGTGGGGATGAAGAGAGATTGTACATGTTTCAATCAATTCAAATCAAGCAATTAAAAATTGTGAAAGGGCGAACGTCACACACCAGGGCCTGTTGGGGGTGGGGAGCTAGGGGAGGGATAGCATTAGGAGAAATACCTAACGTAGGTGATGGGTTGATGGGTGCAGCAAACCACCATGACACGTGTATACCTATGTAACAAACCTGCACGTTCTGCACACGTATCCCAGAACTTAAAGTATAATTAAAAAAATACATACATACATTTTTTAAAAAATTGTAAAAAGAAGGTGAGAGTTTTAAAATTGCTAGTACTGGCCAGCTAATTTTGTATTTTTAATGGAGACGGGGTTTCACCATGTTGGTTCAGGCTGGTCTCAAACTCCTTACCTCAGGTGATCCACCAGCCACGGCCTCCCAAAGTGCTGGGATTACAAGCCTGAGCCACCTCCCCCAGCCTAAATCTCATTATCTTTAAAACCAATGTGTCAACTAGCTAATGTGATAAATTAAATCGTGCCTAAAGGAATAAGCAGATGTAACATGGAAAATTTAGCTATGATTTGACATTGGTTACATTTAAATCATGCAATAGTTAAATTTTAAGCCAGACACGAAAGGCAGGATCTGCCTTAGCAAATCCTTGGAGATGTTTTAGGGCAAGAAGCTCTGCTGTTGCAGAATTAAATCTCTAGTACCACTACATAAAAATGTACAAATAGTTTTCATCGTCTTTCTGTGCCACCATAATGGTGTGCATGAATGCGAAAAAGAAACACAAATATGTTGTTCTTATTAGGTCATGCTCCAAAGTCATTGTTCGGTTTCTAACTGTGATGATGAACATGGTTATATTGGTGAATTCAAAGTCATTGATGGTCACAGAGCTGCGAAAATTGTCGTGAACCTCATAGGCAGGTTAAACAAGTGCGGAGCAATCAGCTCCAGATTTGATGTGCAATTAAAAGATGTAGAAAAATGGGCTGGATGCAGTGGCTCACACCTGTAATCCCAGCACTTTGGGAGCTGAGGTGGGGGGATCACGTGAGGTCAGGAGTTCAAGACCAGCTGGCTAGCATGGTAAAATCCCATTCTACTAAAAATACAAAAATTAGCCAGGCATGGTGGTGTGCACCTATAGTCTCAGCTACTTGGAAGGCTGAGGCAGGAGAATCGTTTGAACCCAGGAGGCAGAGGTAGCTGTGAGCAGAGATTACACCATTGCACTCCAGCCTGGGCAAAAAGAGCAAGATTCGGTCTCAAAAAAAAAAAAAGAATAAGATCTAGAAAAGTGACAAAATAATTTGTTCCCATCTCACCAGTTTGTTTTCACTGTGTTGATGACCTCAACTGGCATCATGGACCAAGAGGAAACAAGACAAAAACACACAGGAGAAAAAATCCTGGGACTCTTTCTTTTAGGAATACATACATATAAATAAAATGTCTCAATGGAGGGGGGAATACGTGTGGGAGGATTCTGATTTCCACCCTTCTCCTCCACTCCTTCATTTCCAACTTGATCTTTTCACAGAATAGAACCATATAGCCTCTGCTGCTCAGATAGACAGCGTCTGGTGCCAGCAGGAGTAAACTGAAGGCAAGGCTGCCCAGATATACCCACCTCCCCATGAAACATCATGGATTGCACATTCCAATGGCATTGTTC